GGGTGCTCTGAGGAGGAAAGAGCCAGCCTGTGCTGGGAAGGCAGCCGGAGGTTGAGGGGGAGCCCTGACCTGGTTGTCCCTGAGCAGCCTTTCAGCAGGGATAAGCCCTTCAGGTGCTTGGAATGTGGGAAGAGCTTCAGACAGAGCACTGCCCTCCTCACCCACCAGCACATCCACACGGGGGAACGGCCCTACACGTGTGGGCAATGTGGGCAGAGCTTCAATGACAACTCCAACCTGATCCGACACCACCGCATCCACACTGGGGAGGGGCGCCACATCTGTGGGGAATGTGGGAAGAGCTTCAGGGACAACTCCACTCTGATGCTGCACCAGCGCATCCACACTGGACAACAGCCCTACCCGTGTAAGGATTGTGGGAAGAGCTTCAATGACAGCTCCAACCTGATCCGACACAAGCGCATCCACACCGGGGAACGGCCCTACAAGTGTGGGGAGTGTGGGAAGATGTTTCGGACCAGCTCAGATCTTCTCAGGCATGAGCGGACACACACGGATGAGAGGCCCTTCCGCTGCACCGAGTGCGGCAATGGGTTCCACCAGCACTCCCACCTTGTTGTGCACCGGCGCATCCATACCAGGGAGAGGCCGTACATGTGTGGGGAGTGTTGGAAAAGCTTCACCCAGAGGTCTAAGTTGACCAGACACCAACAGACCCACTGGTAAGGGAAGCCTGCGTGTGCCCCAACTGTGCGAGAAGCTTCAGCTGTAGGTTCCATCCCAAATGAAGCCCCTGATGGTGAGGCAACCCCTGGAGTCCAGTGACTGTCAGTCCATCCCTTTCCACTAGAAAGGGTCAGTCCCCTTTCACAGGGACAGGTTCTTCCAACAGAACCCTTCTTGGGGGTGTGTTTGGAGATTCCTGCCTTGGCTGGGGACCCCCCAAGGTCAGTCCTGGAGGTTGAGAGCAGAGATCTTCCCACGAGGGTTGGTCTGGGGGAGTTCCATCCATCTCTAATTAAGAATTCTTGCTTTTGTTCTAGCTTGAGTAGAATTGCTTCAACAA